CGAGGGACGGGGCCGACGCTCCTCAGGGAAGGCTCGCCACCCTGCCCTCTCTCGGACGCCGCGACCCCACCCCCCCCCACCCCTCCCGGTCGGAGGGCGCCAGGTTGTGGTTTCCCACCGATCCCGAGGGCCGCCGCGAGGGCGCGAAGTGAGCCGCGCTTCGCGCTTCGCGGCCTGGGCGGTGCGCGAGTCCCTCCTGTTCGGGGAGGGCGGCGCGACAGCGCGAAGGGAATCGCGCCCCGCGCGCTTCGCGGGGCGCGAAGAAGCGAAGAGAACGAGTTGCCATCGGATCCTGGCCAGGCCCCTTCCGGGCCCAGGATCGGTGCACGCGCCCCGATCCCAGGTCTAGGGTGGGCCCGGGCTCGTGGGCGACAACGCACATATATATACACATATACATATTTGTGTGTATATATATATATATATGTATATGTCTGTCTGTCTGTCTGTCTGTCTGTCTGTCTGTCTGTCTGTCTGTCTGTCTGTCTGTCTGTCTGTCTGTCTAAGTGTCTGTCTGTCTGTCTGTCTGTCTGTCTGTCTGTCTGTCTGTCTGTCTGTATTCTATGTATGTATGTATGTATGTATGTATGTATATATATATAAATACGTATAAGACTGCAGTGGCGCTTCGCGCCATGCACCTTGGTCCTTCAAGCCTTGCATGTGGTGGCACTTGGCGCGATCCTCCGTTGCTTCTGAACTTCGGCCGCTTCGCGTCCAGTCCCCATAGCCGTTCCTTATTCGCTTGCGCCCTCGCTTTGCAGGACCCCGCGCCACTCGGACGAGTATGCTGGGGTGTGGAGAGACAGCCAGCATGCGGGCGGTGTTCCGATTCACGGAAACTATACGACATGTGCAGACCCCCCAAGAAAAGTACCGAATCCCCGGTTCACGACCGATTTTCTTGGAATTGGGTTGCGAACCCGGGATTTCAAGCATTTGGGTGTTTTGCGTGGGAAGCCGCTGTCCGGAAGACGGCGTGTGAAGTGCTCTGCGGCCTGTTCAGGGATCCCTTCGGAGCTTTTTTTGATTTTCTGGAACTGTATTGGGCCGTTCTGGGGCCTTTTTGGGCGTGTGGGGAGAGGCGAGGGCTGTAGGGGCCTTTTTGGAGCGGTGTAGGGCCCTCGGGGGGAACCTTTTGGATTGGTTTTCCGTCGTCTCGGAGGTCTCCTGGGGCCGTCATGGGGCTCTGTGTGGGGCCTTTGGGGCCGCCATGGGGTCCTCCTGGAGGTCTCGTCGGCAGTCTTGGGGCGGTTTCGGGAGCTTTTGGGGCTCGAAGTTACGAATATGTCAGTCATATACATTTTCCTCCGGGAATGAGCAGATGTTTGCCTGCTGGGGGTCGTCTTCGAGGCCTTTGGGGCCGTCCTGGAGGCCTCTTGGGCCATCTTGAGGTCACGTCAGTCACTCTTGGAGCGCTCATGTGCTGTCTTGGGGCTAGGTGTGCTGGGAAGGCCTGGCAAAACACCCTGGGAGGCCCAGGGGGCCGCTTCGAGGCCCGTCCGGAGGGTCCCAAAGCCCCAGATCCTGGGAGTCCAGTTTTTTTTTGGGGGGGGGAGGGGTTTCCCCCCCGCCCGGGCTTGTAACACTATAGCAAGAGCAACATGTATATGATGTAGATGTATATGCATATGCATATGAATATGTATATGTATATGCGTATGCATATGTATTTGTATATGTATATGTACATGTATATGTACACGTACATGTTAGGTATACGTGTAAGTACATGTGTGTACATATATATATATATATATATATATATATGTATATGTTGACATACATGCAAATGTATATGTATTTGTATATGTATACGTATAGGTATGTGTATATATATATACATTGATAGGTACACGTATATGCATATGCATTTATATATGTATATGTATCGGTATACGCATATGCATTTGTATATGTATATGTATGTGTGCATGTATAGGTACATGTATATGTATATGTACATGACCAGGTTCATGTATATGCATATGTATATGCATAGGTATATGTTTATGTATGTTTGTATATATATATATATGCATATGCATATGTATTTGTGTACATATATGTTTATATATGTATTTACATATATGTATATGTATATGTGTATGCATCTGTATCTGTATATGCATGTGTATTTGTATAGGGGTATGCATGTGTTTATGTATGTGCACACGTTTAGGTATATGTCTGTGCGTCTGTACATGCGTATGGTTATGTATCTGTATATGTATATGTATATGCACATGTATATGTATATGTACATGTATATGTATATGTATATGTATATGTATATGTTTATGTATATGTATATATATATATGTATATGCATATGTATGTGTATATGCATATGTATATGAAAATGTAACCGTATACATGTATGTATATTATATATATATATATGTATTTGTGCATGTATGTTTATCTGTCTATGTATATGTACATGTATATGTATATACACATCTATCTATCTATCGGGGTATCGGGGGAGGGGACCCTCGCCTAGCTGCCCCTGGTCGCCATGGTGGCCTCGGGTCCCCCGGAGAGTCCCGGCCGTGCCGCGAACTTGCCTAGAGAGCCCTAGGACGAGTCCGGAGTGCCCCCACAGGCCCCCAAGACGTCCCCAAAGGCCCCCGAAACGACCAAGATGAGCCCAAGACGGACCAAGCGGCCGCCAAGACGCTCCAAGAAGTCTCCAAGAGGTCTCCCCAGAGGGCCCCGAGGAGTGAGAATTGTTAATTTTCCAGTTTGTTTTTCTATGTTTTTGACCTTCTCGCCCTTTCGCCTTCCCGACGCTCCAAGACGGCCCAAGAGGCCCGCAAGGACACCCCAAGACTGCCCAAGAGGTCCCAAAGACGCTCCCTGGACGGCCCAAGAGACCCAAGAAAGCCCAAGAGGACTCCAAGGCGGCCCCAAGAGGGGCCCTACAGGACGACCAACCATTCAAAAATTTGTTTTCCGCCCCAACAAAACCCCAGAAGGCTCCAAAAGAGCCCCAACAAATCCACAGAAACCCTCCAGAGTCTCCAAGGAGATCCGAAGAGACCCCAAGAGGCCTCCAAAAGACTCCAAGAGACGACAAATACAGGCCCCCAGAGACCCCGAAGAGACCCCCAAGAGCCCCCAGAGAGCCTTCAGGCCAACGCTAGCCGAGGAGGCCCCGCCCCACCCGCGCGAGGCCTTTCTTCGCCCCCATGTTCCGGACAAGGCTTTCCGGAACATGGGAAAGGGATCATGCGCCGCCGACATCGACGACGACGACGATCGCGCAAGGTACACAGGGCAGGGGTCCAGGGTCCAGGGTGCGAGCGAATATCGGGGCTGGACAGAACCCCCAACAGTGACACGTCGATTAGTGAATTGTCCGTTTTCGGTTCTCGAGAGGGCGCCGTGGCCGCTATTTTCCAGGCTTGCGCCCGCTAGGTTTGGGCCTCAGGTCGTTTTCACTAAACCACGTTTTGCTAAGGGGAGGTCTGCCCATCCTCGAGAATAGGGCGCAGGAACGCATGGGAATGATCAGAGGCCCCCCCATGTTCCGGGAGCGCGTTTCCGGAACATGGGGTGGGAGAAGACCCCGCCGCCCTGCGGCAAGAATCCCCCCCTTAGCGCCCAGGCCGTACCCACAGCTAGAACCTGAGCGCGCGCGAAGTGCGCGCGAAGGTTTTAGTACATATGCATATATATATATATATATATATTTATATGTATATGTGTATATACATACATAGATATGCCTGTCTGTCTGTCCGTCTGTATGTATGCATGTATGCATGTATGTATGCATGCATGTATGTACATATGCATGTATGAGTGCATGTATATATGAATATGTGTATGCATGTATTTATGTATGTAAATACGTACACGCATGCATGCATATCTATGTGTATGTCTGTACGTACGCACGTACGTGAGTATGTGTGCCTGTATGCATGCATTTACATATGACTTTATGCATGTATGTATGCATGCACGTATACATGTACGCATATATGTATGTGCATATGTATATATGCATATATGTATGCATGTATGCATATCTTTGTGCATGCATGTATGTGTGAATGTATGTCTGTATGCATGTATGTATGTACGTATGTGAATGGATGTATGCCTGTATGTATGTATGTGTGTATGTATGTACGCATGCATGTATGTATGTATGCATGCATGTATGTATGTATGTATGTATGCATGCATGCATGCATGCATGTATGTATGTATGTATGTGTGCATGCATGTATGCATGTACGCGTGTATGTGTGTATCCATGTGTTTATGCATGCATGTATGCATGCATGCATGTATGTGTGTATGTTTGTATAGATGTATTCTTGCATAGGCATAACGGACTGTTTGCATGTATGCATGCATGCATGCATGTATGCATGAATGCCTGTATGAATGCATGCGTACATGTATGTATGCATATATATATATGTATGTATATACATATATATATATATATGCATGTAAGTGTTTATGTATGTATGTATGCATGCATGCATGTCTGTCTGTCTGTCTGTCTGTCTGTCTGTCTGTCTGTCTGTCTGTCTGTCTGTCTGTCTGTCTGTCTGTCTGTCTGTCTGTATGCATGCATGCATGCATGCATGCATGCATGCATGCATGTATGTATGTATGTATGTATGTATGTATGTGTGTGTGTGTATGCATGCATGCATGCATGCATGCATGCATGCATGTATGTATGCGTATATATATACACATAGATATAGATATAGCCGTCTCCGCCGCCTCGCGGGCCGAGCCCCTGGGCCGCGACCCCGCGGCTACGGGCCATTCTGTTCGTGGATGCCTCGCGCGGAACGCACGCGTGCGACCGCGCATCCGCGGGATCGCGCCCCAGAATCCAGACCCTCGAGGGCGCGGCTGCGGACCTGCTCGCCGCTCGTGAGACCCTTCGTAATCCGTGCGCAGCCGCGCGGCGGGTGCCCTTCTGCCTCTCGGTAGCGTTTCACCATTGCAACTGGGCCATGGCATGCCGGCTCCACCATCCCACCATCCCAGTCGGGGATGGGCCCCTCGGAGCCCGAAGGGAGCCGCCTGCATCCTCACCTTGGGGGGGCACATCGGCCAGGGGCCCAGGCCACGCCAGTGCGGAGAGGGATCCCCTGAGGCACCTCCCCTGAGCAAACATGGCAGCATCACGGACACTCACGACGGGAGCCCCAGACCCCCTCTTGTTGCGCCCTTTTCCGAGCCGCATCGGCCCGCGAGGGTCCTATGGGGCCCGAAGCCCGGCGAGAACGCCGGCGCGAAGGTCGATGATCCTCCGGACGTGTGTCAGCCCAAACGTGTGCTCACCCAGTTCGTCTCCGCCGATGGCGAGCGGCCCCGTGTCGGCCCTCGTGGAGCCGAAGGCGTCGTATGGACGGGCCTCGGTGGACGAGCACACCGGGGTGCCAGCACACGCTCTGAGGATCACCAGGACGGAGTGGACGGTGCTCCTGCCCTGTGCTCACCGCCGAGGACTACCGTGGCCTGCGCGTGGCGCTCGACGGCCACCTCTTCCTGCACCGCGGGCTCTGCCGCGGCCAGGGCGCCTGCGCCGCGGAGCTGCTGCTCGGGGTGCCCACGGTGGCCCACGCCGCGCCCCTCCTCGAGGTGGGGCCCGGCGTCGGCCCTGATCGCTCCGCGTCGTGCGATTTCTGGTCCCTTTCGACATGCCCAGACTCGGAGGGAGGAAAAGTTTTCGTCAGGAGCGAAAGAAGGACGTACATGTACACGAATCCAGGCTGGGTTCGAGAGTTCGCACTGCGCGAATGCTCGTGTCGCGCGGCAGGTCTCGCGTGTCGAGGGGCCGTGCTCATGTACATAGCTGGGCGCGTACGTCCTTTGTGGGCTCCCTAAAAAGGTACGTACTCATACCGCTGGGTCTCCTGGGAGGCCCTGGTAACGGGGTAAGTTAACCAAACAGAAGACGTGTTTAACCACACAGAGCTGGTATCCGTAAAAACACGTCGTTAAAAACACGTCGCTAAAACACGTCGCTTAAACACGTCGCTGTAGGGCCTGTGGAGGTTGCGGGAGTAGTGGAAATAGTAGTGGTGGTAGTAGTGGTGGTAGTAGTGGTGGTAGTAGTGGTAGTAGGAGTAGTGGTAGTAGGAGTAGTGGTAGTAGGAGTAGTGGTAGTAGGAGTAGTGGTAGCAGGAGTGGTGGTCGTAGTGGTAGCAGGAGTGGTGGTCGTAGTGGTAGTAGGAGTGGTGGTCGTCGTGGTAGTAGGAGTGGTGGTCGTAGTGGTAGTAGGAGTGGTGGTAGGAGTGGTGGTAGGAGTGGTGGTCGTAGTGGTAGTAGGAGTGGTGGTCGTAGTGGTAGTAGGAGTGGTGGTGGTAGCGGTAGTAGGAGTGGTGGTAGTAGTGGTAGTAGGAGTGGTGGTCGTAGTGGTAGTAGCAGTGGTAGTAGTAGATGCAGCAGTGGTGGTGGTGGTGGTGGTAGTAGTGGTAGGAGTCGTAGCCGTGGTGGTGCAGCAGTGGTGGTGGTGGTCGTCGTAGTGGTCGTAGTCGTGGTCGCAGTGGTGGTCGCAGTCGCCGTCGGAGTCGTGGCTGCGGCGGTGCCAAAAACACGTCGCTAAAACACGCCGCTAAAACACGCCGCTAAAACACGCCGCTAAAACACGTCGCTAAAACACGCCGCTCGAAACAGGCCGCTCGAAACACGCCGCTCGAAACACGTCACTCGAAAGACGTCTCTGGAAACACGTCACAGGAAACGCGGCGCTGGAACGCGCGTCGCTAAAACACGTCGCTAAAACACGTCGCTAAAACACGTCGCGAAAAGCGCGAACGCGTCACGAGAAACATGTCACCAGAAACGCGTCACTAGAACAACACATCACTGGAAGCGCGTCGCTGGAAACACGTCACTGGAAACACGTCGCCGGAAACACGTCACTGGAAACACGTCACTGGAAACACGTCACTAGAAACACGTTATTAGAAACATGTCACTAGAATTACGTCACTAGAACCACGCCACCACCACCACTTGGGGGTGGTGGCGTGGAGATCATCAAAAAGAGGGGGTTGGGCCATCTTGGGGCCATCTTGAGGCCTCAAGAGCCCATCGGAGGCGAAAAAGCGAGAGGCCACAAAACATTGATTTTCTTGAAATGTGTGAAGGATGTTTGGCATCTTGGGGGGGGGGGTGGTCCTTGGAGGGCTCGGAGGGCACTGGAAACCACCTTGGGGCCGTCTGGGGTCCTCTTAGATGCGTGTCGGAGGCTATCTAGATCCATATTGAGCTATCGTGGGCCATCTTGGAGGCCTCTTGGGCTCTCGGAGGCCCTCTTGGAGCCATCTTGGGCCAAAAAGGACGCTTTGACGCCTCGCGGCCCGCTCCCTCCAGGCCCAAGGGAGGGGGTCCCTCCCCCGAGCAGAGGAAGGAGGATTTTTGAGCAGTAAGAAGACGCAGTTGGCTGAACCACTTACGCCCAGAGGGCTGCCGGGATTGCAAGCGGACAACAAACCAACTCCCCACCCCGACAGCCTTCTGCAGTGCCGAGTTTTAGCGACGTGTTGTAACGACGTGTTTTAGCAGCGTGTTTTAGCGGCGTGTCTTAGCGACGTGTTTCAGCGACGTGTTTCAGCGACTTGTTTCAGCGACGTGTTTCAGCGACGTGTTTTTATGGAGAGCTCTGTTTGTCACCACCCACCAAACCACCCCAACCCAACCCGAAGGCTCAGATTTACCCTCGATTTCCAGTGGGGGGGGGGTCGGGAAACATCGAAAAAGCACATGTGGAACCCTTACCCCCCCCAACCCGAAATTCGGGTCTTCGCGTTGGGTTGGGGTGGTCTGGTAGGTAGTCAGTTTGGTTAACCCCCACTCTCGGCCCTGGTCGCCACCGCCGGGCTCGCCCCGAAATTTTTTCCGGTCGGAGCGCAGCCCAGGAGAGAGGTCCGGGGAGTGGGCGGTGTGCAGACGTGCTCGCGTCGTGACAACAAGCAGGACGGGAGTTTTTTTTTTTTTTTTTTTTTTTTTTTTTTTTTTTTTTTTTTTTTTTTTTTTTTTTTTTTTTAATTTAATATATATAAAAAGAACAAAAAAAACGTTCTCGGCCTCTGGGGGACTCTTGCGGGGCCCCGTGACCGTCAGAAAACGACCCAGGATCCAGAGCTGGCCGTGGGGAAGGGGTCGGGACTTCCAGGGGCCCCGTGGCGAGAAATAGCAGGACAGCGCACGTCAATTCTGGCCAGCCCGATCCGATCTGATTTCGTTCTTCCGACGATCCGCTGCTTGCACGGGGCTGCCGTGCCATCCTGGCGCAGCCCATCCGATGCTACAGTCGGGGCGCTGCAGAATGAACCCTTTTCGTTGGGGAGGAGCTCGGTGTTCCTTGATTGTTTTATATATCGCCTTGGGTTTTCCTTATGTTTTCCATGGGGAATCGAAGTTTAAGTTAAGGGAAACAGGGGCCTCGTTCCTTAGTCACGATTCCAAAGGTCAACGCCCCGACTGTACTCCCATCCCGTGCCGAGGCAGCCCAGCGCGATACACACGTCGACTCGATCCGAGCTGCCCGCTTCGATGCTGCCGCTGGTCGGGCCTCGAGGCTGTCGCAGGGCTCAGGGCTGTCGCAGGCCGTCGCGGGCCGAGGGCCTGCTCGAGGCCGTCGCAGGCCGAGTGCTGCTTCGACGCTGCCGCTGGCAGTAAGCTGGGCATGCCCCTCTACAGGAGGAAAGCTCAAAAATAGTTCCAAAATCAGTCTGGACTCGAGTATTTCTGGCCACTCTGGGAATATGCTTCCTTTTTCCCTCGAAGTCTGCCTGTAGGGGGGACACGGCCAGCCTAACGCTGGCAATGCCACGAGGCCGTCGCGGTGCTCCGGGCGCACGGCGCCGAGCCGGTGGCCATCTTCGACGGGCGGCCGCTGCCGGCCAAGGCTGCGACGCGCGAGCGCCGGCGGCGGGCGCGGCGGCTCGCGCGCGAGCGCCTGGAGCAGCAGCTGGACGCGCGCGGGGCCGCGGGCCTGCAAGCGGAGCGCCCGCGCCTCGCGCAGGCGGTGGAGGTCACGCCGGAGATGGTGGCACGCTGCACCAGCTGCCTGCGGCGCAGGTTGGCGGCGCGCAGGGGGTTCGGCCCGATGGGCTACAGTCCTCTCCCCCCCTCCTCCTCCTCCTCCTCCTCCTCCTCCTCCTCCTTCCCCTCCTCCTCCTCCTCCTCCTTCTCCTCCTCCTCCTCCTCCTCCTCCTCCTCCTCCTCCTCCTCCCCTCCTCCTCCTCCTCCTCCTCCTCCTCCTCCTCCTCCTCCTCCCCAGCCTGGGTGTTCCTGGCGTATCCGTTTCTCCTCTTCCTCCTCCTCCTCCGCGAGGGTGGCCTTTTTCGCCAGGGTGACAAGATGGTGCGGGCACGCTGGGGTCCCCAGATGGTGGAATGCGATGCGATAGCAGCGGGTGGCGCGCTCGGGTGTGGCCCTCCGTGCCCCCCTGAAGCCGCTCACCAGAGGTCATTCTTGCCTAGGGTCACTTTTGCGTGTTGCGTGCAGCCGAGGGGTATCTAATCTCATCGGTGTTCCGCAGAAGGATGTCTTTTCTGACTTATGTCTATTGCAACATGTAAGCTGTGAAACGCCGCAGGCTTCAGAGACGTCTGAGGTGGCCCAGCACCTGGCTCTGGCAAGCAGGAAGGCGGGAGGGGGGCAGGTTCGAGGTGCTGGCTTCGTTTTTTTTTTTTTTTTTTTTGTTTTGTTTGTTATTTCCCCTTTTTCAGTCTCTGGGGGCCATTTTTGGGTGTTTCCCCTTCTTCAGGCTCCGGGGGCCGTTTTCGGGCCCCCCCCGGGACCATGAGAAACGGATCCGGGGGGAAAAACTGCACTGTATGGACCCCGCAAGAGATTGGTGGACAGATTTTGAGCGGATTTGGGGTGGGTGGGGGGCGCAATGGGGGAATGTCATGGTGCCCAGCCCCTATCAGCCGAAAAGGTATGTGACCGAAGAGCTCGGTGCCCGAAACCGTGCCCGAAAGTGTAACCGAAACCGTTGTGTGACCAAAATCGCGACCGAACTTGAAAATCGCTTTGGTTTCGAACCGATGATCTCGGTCAGACTCTGCCGCGTTCAGAGAAAATCGGGCGCCAGATTCGGTCGCACTTGGGCAGATTTTCAGGCTCAGTTTCGGTCACTACACCAGACGAGGCTGCGTGAGGGGTGGCCTTCTGGGGCGTGGGGCTTCTCAGGAGGCGTGGGTCCTCCTGGAAGGTCCTAGAGGCTTCCGAGGAGGCCTCTCGGCAGCCTCGCGGCCCCTCCTGCCTTCTGAGAAGCACCCCGCCTTCTTCAAAAGCTGGCCCACCCCCCCCACCCTCGCGCCATCCCCACGTGTGCGCCGCCAAGCTTGGGCGTGCAGTTCATCGTTGCTTCCTACGAGGCGGACGCGCAGCTGGCCTACCTGGCGATCGAGGGCCTCGTCGACGTGGTTGTCACGGCGGACGCGGACCTGCTGGCCTTTGGTTGCCCGCGTGTCCTCTTCGACCTCGACAGTGGCGGCGGCGGCTTGGAGGTGCGCCTGGGTGACCTCCAGGGCTGCGAGGGGCTGGCGCCCTACCGGCTCGCGCCCGCGTCGCTCCCCGACCTGTGCATACTGAGCGGCTGCGACTACCTGCCCGCGCTGCCGCACGTGGGCCTCCGCACCGCCGCCAAGTGGCTCCACCGTGCTGGCGGCAGCGTCGAGGGTGCGCTGCGCCTGGCTGCGAGGAGGGGGGTCCAGGTCCCCGGGGACTACCGACGCAGCTTCGCGCGCGCCCGGCTGGTCTTTGAGTCGCAGCTCGTCTTCGACCCCAGGACCGGCCGTCTGTGCGCGCTCCGCCCGTTGATGGTGGCACCAGACGTGCCCGAGGGCTACCTCGGGGAGGCACTGGACGACGAGACTGCGCGCTCCATTGCCTGTGGGCACCTGCACCCCGTCACGCTGGAGAGCGTCGATCCCGCGAGATGCCAGCCCCAGGTCAGCGCCGCCCTGGCGGCCAAGCTGTCCTTGGCCCTGGCGCTGCTCGCTCCTGATGGGCCTGGCCCAGCCTCCAGCTCCGGACGCGATGGCGGAGAGCCGGCGGACCTCAGCGGTCGAGACGCAGCTGGGCCGCGCAGCACGGGCCGCGTCTCGCGCTCGCCTGCCCCCAGCGTGGCCCAGCGCCAGAGCAGCGCTGGCTGCGGCGGCGTGACGCGCGCGGCCCAGGGCGGCAGCGGCGGCGGCAGCCCGCCGCTCCCGCGGGCGCCGCGGAGCTCTGCGGCGCCCGGCGCCCCAGGTGCTGAGGGCCAGCCAGCCGCTCCGCGGGCACACTCGCGTGGCTTCAGGCCGCCGCGGCCTGCAGCGCCCTGTGACCGTGCGGCGGCGGCCATCGTGCCAGCACCGACCGCCGAGCAGTACGGCGCGCTCCGGGGCGAGCTGGCGGAGGTCTCCGAGCGGCTGGGCGAGCTCGAGGCGGCGCTGGCTGGGCACGGGGGCGCCAGCACGGGACAGCCGGGGCGTGCCGCGAGCCCGGGCCCCTCGGAACCCGCAGATTTTGCTTCGACATTGTGCGAGGAGTGGCCAGCTTTAGAATCGAAGCTGGACGAGGACGCACGGAGCTCCCTGTTTCCGCCCACCAGCGCCCTCGTGCTGTTCCGCACGGAGGCAGGTGGCGGCGCCGCGGGCCCGGGCCGCTCGGCTCACGCGGTTTTCGCCTCGAAGCCGGGGAAGGAGTGGCCATTGTCGGATGTATCCATCTGTGCACTGGAGGAGGAGGCGGAGGAGGAGGAGGAGGAGAACGAGGAGGAGAACGAGGAGGAGGAGG